AGGAGTAAAGAAATTGTCCAGAAAGTAGCAAAAAATAAAAAGAGAAAATGCTAAATAAGCCAAGACACTCTGGGGGAAAAAAAAAAAAAACCTAAATGAAAGATCTCTGTGAGTGAAATCCCAGTGGAAAGAACGGGTCATCAAAGAAGGAGGTACCTTTCTCTGAAGGGAGGAGAGAACTTCCACTTTGACCATGGCCTTGTCTAAATATGATCAGAGTAGGTGAACTCAGGGGGCTTCCATAGCCTTGGCAGCTCATGACAAGAGCCTAGGGTGATTACTGAGGCCATAAACAAGAGTGTCAATTTGTTAAGTCAACAACAGGAGTCACTGTGAACTTACTCCTCATGTAGGATCTTTGTCCTTAGTGTGCTGTACATTGAGATTTAATGCTATAACTAGTACTCAAACAGTATTTTTCACTTTATGTTTCTGTGTGGGAGCAAACTGTTGAAATCTTTACTTAATGTATTCTAAACTGATCTTCTGTATATAAAAAGAATTGAAAATGAATCTTGATGTGAATGGAAGGGGAGAGGGAGTGGGAAAGGGGAGGGTTGCGGGTGGGAGGGACGTTATGGGGGGGAAGCCATTGTAATCTATAAGCAGTACTTTGGAAATTTATATTCATTAAATAAAAGTTAAAAAAAAGAAAAAGATAAAAGATCTAGTTTCTTAGCAAATTTGAACTATATAACAATTAACTATTCTGTGCTATGCATTAGATCTCCATAATTTATTCATCCTAGAACTGAAAGTTCACCTCCTACAACCAACATTTCATAATTTCCCCTACCCCCAACCCTTGGCTATCACCATTCTATTTCCTGTTTCTATGTGTTTGACTTTTACATTTTATTCCTTTTTGTCTGTTTGAAAGGCATCAGAGAGGGATGGAGGGAGGGGGAGAGAGAAAGAGAGAGAGAGAGAGACCTCCCTTCTGCTGATTCAGTGTCCAACTGCCACCAATAGCCAGAACTGGGCCAGGCCAAAGCCTGGAATGCAGACCTCTCTCCAGATCTTCCATGTGAGTAGCAGGGACCCAAGTGGTTGGCCCATTACCTCTGCCTCCCTGCTGCTCATTAGCAGGAAGAGAGAAGAGAAGAGCCAGGCACTCTCATATGGAATGTCATTGTCCCAAGCAGAGTATTAAATTTTGGGTGAAATACCCATTCCAAGTTTGATTTTTTAGACTCTCATCATGCAACATTTATCTTTCTGTATCTGGGTTACTTCACTTCATCTATGTTGTTGCCAATGGAAGAATTTCTTCATTGTTTTAACACTGTTTCCCAGATGCTGTCCAGCTACCATTATATATACATTATATATATATATATATTACCATATACCACGTATATTCAAGGCCCTTTCTTCTTGTAATATAAGAAAAATAGACTTAGCATGATTGCCTTAGACCATTGAATTCCACCCAAGAGGACTATGAAAAAAGAAAAAAGCTTTCTTCCCCAAGTAAGTAGCGCTATGGAGAAAAATAAGCACTTAGACAAACTGGAAGATGAAGATGGGGAAGTCGTAAGGTATTGACAGGCCAATTATGACATTTGCTGTAAGACCCAACGAGAGATTGTATAATATTGTAGGACTTCAACGCTTCGAAGGAGAAACTGCATATCCAAGTCCTGGAGAGTTTCTTTATTGTCAAATTACTTTATGTTTACAGTACAGAGAAGTCCCAATGATCAAATTATACACAGTGATTCAATCAGGAGTATAAGGTTGCAAAGACTAGAAACTGACCTGGGCTAATTTAAACAAACAAACAAACAAAAAGGATCTTTTGGAAGGACACAGCGGAGCTCACAAAACCAAATGTTGAAAACCCAGGATCAGAACAGTACACACACCAGGGTAACACAAAACTGCAGGAAGAATCAGATTGGTTGAACTTATGTACCCAGCTCACTCATTGGACAGGGAAAAGCAGATCACTTTGACTGTTAGCCTTCTCAGATGGCCCTCATGGATTGAGAGACTTTTAAAAGTAAAGTGTGATATCATTGCAAACAGGGACTTGAAGCCAGGAGACCCCACAAAACAATTACCCAGTACAAATGCCTGAAAGCCTGTCTAGGAGAGCAGATCTTTCAGACTCAGACTTAGCAGAGCTATCCTTGGGGCTTGAGATGAGGGTGTCATCCCTGATCAGGCCTTTGGTGAGCCCCAGAGACTGGCCACGGGCCCTCAGGGAATCCTATGCAGTAAACACTTCTGACTCTGGTCCATTCCCTTGCCAGGCCATTGCATCCACACCAGCACTTACAGCTGTTCTTGTCCAACAAGATTCACCTCATTCAGAAATGCCTGAGGGACGGCACCTTGGCACACCTGGTAATCCTTCACCTGCGGTGCTGGCATCCCATATGGGCACCGGGTTCTAGTCCCAGTTGCTCCTCTTCCAGTCCAGCTCTCTGCTGTGGCCCAGGACAGCAGTGGAGGATGGCCCAAGTGCTTGGGCCCTGCACCCGCATAGGAGACCAGGAAGAAGCACCTGGCCCCTGGCTTCAGATTGGCGCAGAGCCGGCCAAGGCGGCCATTAGGATAGTGAACCAACAGAAGGAAGACCTTTCTCCCTGTTTCTCTCTCTTACTGTCTATAGCTCTACCTGTAAGAAAGAAAGAAAGAAAGAAAGAAAGAAAGAAAGAAAGAAAGAAAGAGCGAGCGAGCCTGAGCCAGTACATCCTGAACCTGAGTGTATTCTCTTGCATTTTGTGGAAAAGCAAAAGTGAAAAGATGTTTTAAACATTTTCTCCCCATGAAGAGGAAAACAGATCTTTTTCTTTAAGAATCCAATGAGGTAAATAAAACATTTACAATCCTGTAGAAATGTTGTCACATTCCAAATCATGTGAAAGAAGCTATAAGCTAGCACTTTGACCCATTTGTCCAACACTAAATGGAGTAATAAACCAAAGGCTGTAGCACATAACTAATCTGGTAACCATAGCAACCTGTATACATCTCATCCTACCTTTGACTAAATTGTAATTTGAATAAAATTTTAAAAGGAAAGGCAGAGTTACAGAAAGGCAGAGGCAGAGGCATAGAGAGAGAGAGAGAGAGGTCTTCCATCCACTGGTTCACTCCCCAAGGATGGCCACAACAGCCAGAGCTGGGCTGATCCAAAACCAGAAGCCAGGAGCTTCTTCTGGGTCACCCACATTGGTGCAGGGGTCCAAGCACTTGGGCCATCTTCTACTGCTTTCCCAGGCCATAGCAGAGACCTAGATCAGAAGCAGAGCAGCCAGGACTCCAACCGGTGCCCATATGGGATGTCAGCATATGCTATGCCACAGTGGTGGCACCAGAAATAAACTTTCAAAGGTTACAAAAAGTCACAGGAATTGGTTTTTTTG